CACACACACACACACATACACACACAATATATATATATATTTTTTAAATCAGCCTTTAAAAAAAGTATTGCCACAAGGATGAAGGATAAATCGTATTTAGTGTTTAAAGGAGAAATTAGGGGCACTAATATGGATTAGATTCAACTTCTTGGAATGTAGATTCCCTCTATAACTTCTAAGAGTAAGGATAGGAGTTGACAAGCATGGTCCTCAGAGAAAGAACCCAGTTGTAGAAAACTAATTTAGAAAAAGCTCGAAGAAAAAATGGCACCAAGTATCGCAAAAGAAAAAGCTGGGAGAATTGAGCATGATGAATGTCTGAATTCTAGGGTGTTGAGGCAGACACTCAATAAGTTGTTTCAGGGCGATTATTATTTAGTGAAGGAACTATTGATTCCTTCAACTTAGTCTCACAACCTAATTGTGTGAATTCAGGAGAGCAAATGACAACTGGGCACAGACATGTTGTGTTGCTCAATACAGTGTCTGAATGTAACCTTTTATGATGTCAAAGGTTGTATGATCTTCACAAAAAATATGGGATTAAGATAATGGTGAGTCAAAAAAAAGTGAAGTGGATTTTTAAAAGTCTAGGATCCCATCAATATGTTTGTTTGGTGTGTGTATGCTGAGTACTTTTCATTTGGTTCTGTTTGTGCTTATAATGTAACATTTAATAACAACAAAGCCCTACAATCTCAGATTCTATAATCCAGATTATATTTGGTGTATTTTGTTTGATTGTGATGACAATAGCGGTGGGAGAGGGAATATTAAATCATAACACATTTCTCATTAGCCACAGATTTTGAAAAGTTAGGTTTGATTCTTAGAATTTTTTTAACAAATGTCGTAATGTTATTTGGTGGGCTCTGTCAGTCGTGACTTAGTTGACTGAATTTTTCCCATAGTCAGAGAGCTTTTCATAGCATTTACGTGTCTTGTGTGTGTGCGCATTAGTGTGCGTGAATGGCAGGCCTGCCTACTGCAGAGTACGTGTGAAGGTCAGCGAATGACCTTCGGTGTTGATCTTTGCCTTCTACCTTGTTTAAAAAGGGATCTCTGTGGTTCTTCCACTGTGTACGGCTGACTAGCTGACCTTCCAGTTTTCTCGGATTCTCCTGTCTCAGCCACCCATCTCCCTGTAAGAGAGAGGGACACTATATGTCTACCTCTTTCACAAGCAGTGAAGATCCAAACTCAGGCCCTTGCTCTAGCAGTGCTGTTGCCCACTGGACACATCTCCATTCCCTGTCATTCTTCTAACAGTTATTAGCATGCCTATTTATAAATGAAAATCCAAGCTTCAGATATTTTAAGAATGTCCTCAAACTATCGCATGAGTGAGAAAGACAGACTCAAATGTAGTTCTTCTTGGAATCTTCAAAAATCTTGTTCTAAAATCAACTGGTCAACACTGCTTTTCTAAAACGTTCTTGTGTTACACCCACGAAATTCTCAAAATCAAGGAGCAAGATTCCTGCACCTAGGGAGGAGTCTGGCTTCAGGATTTATGGTTGAAAAGAAGTCAAAACTCATGAGACTTGAGCCTCACACTGGTCTGCTCCCTGAACATGGGAATAGAACAGATGGGTGTTTCCTCTCTCTCTACCTTAGGTTCTCTATGTGTGACGTTGGTCTGGCTCGGCATTCCTGTCTCAGAGTGTGTGAGCTTGTAGGATTGTATAGAACCATTCTCATGGCAGTTATAAAAGCAGGGAAACCCTGATATATAGAATGTAAGATCATTTAGAAAAATGATCATTGGCCTCCTCAATGATCTACTTCAAAGAATAGAGTTATTTTAATAGAAAAAAAAAATGATGTGGGCATCTGATACAACAAACTACCTGTGTTTTCTCATCAAAGAGGTACTTTTCATACAACACAGGCAATTTCAGATCAAAAAGGAAGTACACATCCACATAATGATCACATTACGTCCTTTTGTGTGACTTCTATCAAATTAAATTGTTCTAATCATTTTCTTTTGTTAAAAAAAAAGTTAAAAAGATACCCAAGCCAGCATGCTATGCATTTTTATCACTTCAGCAACATGAAGCTATAAAGAAAACAAACACAAACAATACTCCTGAATGGAAGCCTGTTTTTCCCCTCCTTTTGTGTAAAGACCTCTTTCAGAAAAGAGACGCACAGCAACATAATTTCCACAGTTCTATTGTGATGGTTGCTCATCACTTCAATTAGCCACTGTTCAGCCTTGAAACACCCCCTAAGCCTAAGCCATCCACTCCCAACTATTTTCAGCTCCCCACAGGGTTCTATGTGTATTAGCTACATGCTCCTTCTACCCATCATCCCTTACTCTCAGCAGGATGGCGGGCAAAATTCTATTAGCTGTCAAGTTGCAAGTCAGAGGTGACTTCAGAGTGAAATCTCTCTTGGTCACTGTGTTTATTTCTTTTTCAGCTACAGTAATGCCCTTCATCAAAGTCCTTTACAAGTCCCATCATACTTCAAACCACTCATTGGACTATTTGTCTGTGTTTTGTCCTGCACTAGAAATCTTCTAATGGCAAGAATTATTTCAATTAATCTTATTACAGTGAATAAAACACACCTGTTATTTAAAGGATGGTTGAATGATGGTGACTCCCAAGTTACACTCTAATGTGTGGGAGGTTTTATGTGTGTGTGTGTGTGTGTGTGTGTGTGTGTGTGTGTGTGTAGTGCATACTAGTGGTTCAGCTTTAATGTTATTTGATTGCTATGTGAAAGCATTTAAAGTACAATAAAATATACCATCCCCACCAAAACCCTTATGGCTATATTCTCTTAAATACCAAATTTTGTCAAATTATCATTTGAGAATAAAAGATGACATTAATTTGTATTTTGTATAGAAAAATACATTTCACAAGAGAGATTTTTAACCCTTAAATTATAACTACCTTGAAGTTCTGGGTCAGTATAACAAATATCACACTGAATTATGTCAGACATGAGAAACTATACATCATAACTAAGGCTTTCTTTTCAAGTCAGGCAGAGAAGTAGTGCTAAATATAATGGAAGTAAAAGCAATTACATTAAAACATAAAAATGAAACTAAGTCTAAAAACATTAGGTAACAATTTATTGTACCCAATTTAGTGAAAAACCAGATGAAGACCATATTTGAAACTCAGAAACCTTGCTATCTCAGAAGAGAATGATATAAAATAAAGTTATAAATTATACAGTACAAAAGCCAATTGTTAACAGTGTGTACATACACCTAAATTCGGAGTTGATTTACTCAAAAGCAAGGACATTTGTGTATGTTGCAGATGGAAACACACATGGCCTCTGTTTCTGCTGACCATGTCAGAAAGTATCAGAACTCCCCACATGTTACCCAAGGAATTAAGTATTTATTATCCAAAGGTCATCCAGGTTCAAGCAAAAGATCATTAGAAAAAAAAAAAAAAAAGATTTTTCCTATACTTATGAGCTGAAGTGAACGAATTTCAATCTAAAACTATCCAGACAACTGTAAGAAGTTACACAAGGAAGGGGCTTTCCCAAGGAGGAAATCCGCAGCAGGCGTCCTGGCACTTCTTAAATGTGCCAACGGGTTATTAAACTAAGTGTTCCTTAATTTGAGTTTCCATGTTTCTTTGGAAGGATGCACCTTTTCTGAAGAAGAAGACGAGAGGAGACAAGGACTCACCCACTTTACAAAGCAAGGAATTGACCATAATTTGAAATAGAAGAAGGTACTAACAACCCGCATTACTGTTTGCCCATGCGCCCCAGCTCTTAAACCGGTCGGGAGGTTTATTAATCATATTCTCTCCCGAAGTGATTTCTTAAAGTACTAAAAAGTAAATTCTCTAGAACTCTGCTTTCCCAGGCAAAGAAGGCTTCTGGGCTTCAGTTATGACAGAGCTGGCCAACCATCAAAATATAAACACTACCTGTTTGAAGCTCAAATGCAAAGCAGGGTTTACAGAAGAGAACAGCAGGGAGCTCTCAATGCAACTTGTAAACACACAAAATGAAACTTTAGTATCTAGACACATTAAAACACTGCTCTAGAAAAACAAACAGGAAAACACTTCACATTGACTTTTTTTGTTGTTTCCAAAAGTCCTATTTTAGGTTTTAAACTCTTCCTGATTTTTTTTTTGCTTCCTCAAAGACAACCCCATCTTTTTTGGACCTGTTTCAATAAGAAATACAAACTCAAGAGGTGGGGGTGGGGGGGAGAAGATGTTAAGCCAGGATGTAAATTCACTTAAATTATGCAAGTGGAATCCACAGCTGCTCTCTCCTGCTCCTTGCTGAATGAATAGCGTCAGATAAACCTTTACAATACTAATGTCCTCGCTCCTGACAAGGGGTAAATCTCCCAAACTTGAGCTCAACTTTGGAGCCTATTAGCTACAGCAAGTGAATGTCAGCTCAGCGAGGTGACAGCATCGGGCAGCAGCGCCCTGGCAACCTCAAGAGGCAACCCACCCTGAGCTGAGAATCCGTGTGATTAAAAATGCCACCAAATTCCCGGTGCTCATCATCCTCGTTTCAACACACAGGATGCTCGGATACCCCACAGATCACATCCGAATGCCATTCCAGCCGCTACATTCAAAGCCTGGAGCTCCCAGAACAATGAAGCTGCAGTTTCCAGCACTTTCAAACGCAAAGACTAAATCCTAATTTACGGCGTGATCCACAGCTTATTACCTCCTCTAATTTCCTGGTGCTGGCCTACCGAAATAATCCTCATCTTTTCCTCCCCCCTCTCCACCCGCCAAGTGTGAACGTGAACCTGAATTACAAACAGTTAAACCTGAAGGTCACTTCACAGCAGCGTTCCGACAGGCTCCCCCAGGGAGGCTGCAAGGCAACAATAAAACAAAGCCTTCGCAACCACCTGTAATAATCTGCCTGCTCAGCCGGCCATCTGAAAAGTCCTGGCGCTACCCAAGGTAGACATTTTTTGCAGCTGGTTTAACATGTACATCGTGCCCAGTTGCCGTCTCGCCTCCTCTTACCTTCACGTTAGTCCGGAGTGCACAATAACATGCAAAGAACATTGCAGTAAATAAGGGGCATATGGGCCGGTGATCAGCTTCTCAACACAGCGCAAGCCCCACACACACGATCCTGGGCATGTGCTGCTAAGGAGCATCCGTTCCCTCTGTCAGTTTGAAAATGCATTGATCCCTGTTTCCTCTGACTACAAAACGACATGTCTTGAAGGCACTGAGTGAGAGCTCAGAATCTCTTCATTGGCTATATATAGCATTGTGCCCAGTAATTTCAATTAGCCGAGGATTCAGCATCCGAAAGTTAGGACCTCAGTTGCTTTTCCTTCTAGCATTTTAAATCACTGAGGGGGGGGGAAAGGAGGGGGGGAATGAGCTCACCCAGGAAGGAGGGGGGAAAGGTGAAGAATTGAAATTTAACCAATGAGTTACTTATATTTCTGGAGAGCCCGAGTGTTGTCCTATTAGATACTTTACCATGGGATTGCATCGGGTAGGCTATAGATAAAGAGGGAACCCTTTTCCCTTTGTAGCCTAACAGCTCTGCACTATATTCCAGGCTTTTCTGATGCAGTGCCCTGTTTTGGCAAGTACTACAAACCACCGCAAACATGCCTCACTCTTCATTTCTCTGTGGAACAGAGCAGGACCGAAAGGGAAAGGTTCACTCTCTCAGAGAGTCACCTAAACCCTAAGCCAGGTCCCCCAGGGGTACTCCACTGTTCCAGAGCTAAGACATACCACCTCTTACTGCCCTGCCCTGGAATAGCATCAGGTCTGTCTTCCAGGGATATTTAAAGTTGCTAGGCTCTCTAATAAAACCATGCATCCAATTCTCCAAAGCTGTGCTTTGTTGGTAAATAGCAAGCTAAGATCCGGGATGGGCTTGGAATGAAACGGGATAACTCTGCCTCAGTGCAGCATCAGGAGCGGATGTAAAACATCCGCTGGTTCTGGGAGTCAGAGGGAGAGAGACAGAGAAATAGAGAGAGAGGCTTCTATTCCTATGAAACCACAAGGGGGTAATTTTTAATTAAAAAAACATTTTCAAATCTTACTGTCTGTTGCCATCCTTGACAGTCAACAGATATTGCAAATTAATTGAATTTTTATTCAGCCAAGAGGACAAAGTCCAATGCAGGGTTCTAAACTCTTTTTTTCCCCCAGCTTTAGGAAGCCCTAATGTTCAGCTAGAATTCTAAAGCTATCTGGTAAAATGCAAGCAGACACGAACAGTTCTCACTGCAGTAAAAATAGTGGGAGGAAAAAAGATTGGTGATGTCTTCGCCACAACGGTTCTCACAGCAACAGGGAAGAACCGCATCACTCACAGGGAAAAGCTGCAGTGACTTTTAGGATTTTTTTTTAATGTGTTTTGCATAAGCCACCTCCCCTTTGGAGCCTGCAGCAATACTGAGGCTCTGGCAGAGTCACTGGGCATCTCTCCTGGGCACCTCACCCAGTGAGGTGAGGGTAGAAGGTAAATTCGGAGAGAGGAATTAAAGAGCTAGGTTTTCTATTTTCCCCTCAATGATAAGTGTTCAGAAAGTGTCGTCACTTCTGACTAAATAGCTATTTTGGGCTGTCATTGTTTGTGGCTTTTTTAGGAAGAAAAGAAAGGCAATCTTAGTTTAAGCTGGAGACTGTTTAGCAATGAAAGAGAAGGGAGCCACTTAATTTGATTCCCAGCTCTGTCTGTCATAGTAGACTAGGTAATTACAAACTGTAAGGACTTGTAACATGACTGTGACTTCCAGGGCAGTTAAAAAAAAATCAACATGGATGATCAAGTTCTATCATTCCACAACTTTTATTAATGGACTCAAAGCAGAACCCGTCATTTCAGTTCATACTGCCTCCCTGCCCAGAGGTCATGACAGGTTACCTCTCCTGCAGGTCTGCCCAGTAAGGGAACACAAACACAGCAACTGGAATGCGTGGTAAACAGCGTGAGGACTGAAAACTGCTTTTCTCCACTAGGGTTCAGAAGATTATTAGGAATTTTTTTCCAATTGATGAATTTACTGTGAGTAATTTTTTTTTTCATTAGAATCTGGACTAAAAGACACTTTATGGGTTTGTATTGCTTTTTTGATGGTACCGCCCAGTACAGGAAGAGCAAAGGGAAGAGACCACAAACATTATAATCTCAGAGAAGCACACTGGCAAGGAGTAGAGGAGAGTGAAGTCTGAAGAACTTAGGTGGGGTTTCAGCTACGACTTTGACATGTTTACATTCCAAAGGAAGACTTACATATGTCTGGGAGACCTATTTAAGACTCTCAAGTGGGCTTACCTATCTCACAAAATCCCAATGCCGACAGGGGCTGTACCTACAGATCTGCTGTTTAGTTTTAAGTATTTAAGGATACTGACTATTGTCATCTTTTCCTTGCAGGACACCAGGCATTAAGTTGAATCACAGGGTCTATTAGAAATGTCCTTTACTAATGGTCTGGGAAGATGCTTCAGCAGGGAAATGCACTTGCAGCAAAGCTGGACAACCGGAGTTCAATTCCCATGACTAACGGGTAGAAAATAAACTCCTGTAAGTTGTCCTTTAGCCCCCCCCACACACAGATCATGTCATGCCTCCCTGCCAACCTACCCTACCACACAGTAAGTAAGCATAATTTTTAAATGTGGTCTCCATTCTTAGTCAAAGACTACGCTGTGGTAGTATATCCAAGGAGAACAACACTGACAATTGTAAAAGAAAATTATATTTTAATTTATTTTTTATTAATTACATTTTATTCACTCTGTAAACCCAACTGTAGCCCACTTCCTCTTCCCCCTCTTCTACTCCTATGCCCCTCCTCCAGCCCACTGATAGCGGAGGTTCTCTTCCCTTCCATCTGACCCTAGCCTATCAGGTCTCATCAGGACTGGCTGCAATGCCCTCCTCTGTGGCCTGGTAAGTCTGCACCTCCACTCAGGGGGAGGTGATCAAAGACCAGGCCACTGAAATCATGTCAGAGACAGTCCCTGTTCCCATTACTAGGGAACAGCCAAACTTTGGGCAGAGTGCAAGGAGAGAGAGAAAGGAGAGAGAGAAAATAATGGGCACAGGGGTCTTTTCTAAGACTGATTCCCCAAAGGGCCATGCATGGAGATAACCTAGGAAAAAAAAATTCTTAACTGGTTACATAGTTTTGGAGGGAGCAGAGTAAATCTATGTGCCAATACCACAGGTAAGATATCACAGAAAAAATATCCACATCAAACCGTTTACCATTTGCAAAATAGGACATTATATAGCTCATTATGTGGCTAAGAATATTAAAGATGAATCACGTCAACAAAAACTCATTGAATCAATGAGTTAGGTATAAAACCCAAACCACAAACACATTAAAAGAAAACATAGTTTGGTTTTGTAATATTGGAGATTGAAGTTACAACAGAGAAGATAATTTTGACTATGAAAAAAAAATGAACCATCTTCTTTGGTAAAGTACATACAATAACAAGTTAAAAATAGCAAACTATCTGCAACAAATTTGATTGGAAATTCTTTAAAGAAATTTTCATAAAATCACCAAGAAAAAATAAAATGAATTTTAAAAGGCAAATAAAAAAGTAATAATTCACAAATGACTATAAACCTATGAAAATGCTCTCACTCAGTGGGAAAAGCATAAAAATTTAAAATGTTGATTCCTTTCAATGTGATGATTTAACTTTTAAGAATATGATCTAAACACACTGAATGAAACTCAAAACTCAAAGAACTAATAAAAATGTAAAAAATAAAAAAAAGGATTCAGTCTAGGGGTGTGTGTGTGTGTGTGTGTGTGTGTGTGTGTGTGTGTGGTGCAGTGATGTTTGAGTGTACATGCTCACATGGAGGTCATAAGTGGAAAGACACTCAAACGTGTGTGTGTGTAGGGGTCAGATGTCAGTGCTGGGTTCCTTTCTCAAACTTTCTGCATCTATTTTTTTTTGAGGTAGGTTCTCTCAGAGAGTCTGGCACGCCACAATTTGGGTGGGCTGGCTGGCTCCTGATCACAGGGGATCTACCTGACTGCTTCCTCAGTCCTGGGATTACAGGACACACTATCATACCTAGACTGTTTCCCTACGGTCACTTGGGGATCTGAACATAAATCCTCATGCTTTTGCTGCAAGCACTTTACCAAATGAGCAATCTCTCTAGCCCCTTGATGGAAACTATAGCAAGTCTTTAAAAGAAAACTTACTTATGTGTTAGAGAGATAGGTCAGCTTTTAAGAGTTCTTGCTGCTCTTGCAAGGGACCTGAGTTTGGCTGTCAGAACCAACATTGCAGATAAGAGAGTTGACAACCAACTGTAAACCCAACCCAAAAAGATCTAATGACCTCTTCTGTCATCTGTGGACACATGTATACATATGCCTTCACACACACACACAGTAAAAACTAAAATGAATTCTAAAAAATAAGAGATTTGTAAATGAAATAAAATGTAAGGCAGTATGAGAGTATAATTTGTTAAAAATATAATGGTAGTGATGTCTATTAATATTTAAAAATAATTCATATTGATGGGTACCATTTCCTTATCTGTAAAACTGGGATGATGGACTACTAAGTTTGTCTTTAACATGTATTTAGAATAACTTGTAAGCTGTATTTTTTGTTTTACTTTACGATAAGACTGATTGGGTAATTATGACTGCTAAATAGTCACTTGGTTATACTTCAAAATAATTAGACTGAAATCTCTTAGGTGGGACCTATGTTTCAGTATTTTATAAAGGTTCCTACTTGGCTCCAATGCACAACTAATGTTAAAATTAGTCCATAGATCGGGGTTCATCAGAAAAGCCATTCAGTAAAGCAATGAGTAGTAAATATCTCAGGCTTATATGCCACATGATCTGTCATAGTTACACAATACTGATGTCCTCTCAGCAAAACAACCTGTGTAAATGCCTATGTGAGGGCCAGTATATACTCCACTTCTATGAAATTTCATTAACACTCATTAAAATTTGAATTCTATGCTATGTTATGTAATTGCCTTATTCCTGTTACAAACGAAATAAACAATTCTGAGTGGAAGCTCACCCTACAAAAACAGAAGCCAGTTGACCAAGGGACCATAGAGAACCAACACTATCGTGTACTTCCTGGAAGCA